ATGTTTTTTTTGCTTAGTTAATGTCGCGATTACATTTGGTATTGCTGTGCTAAGGACTGTGTAAATGTGTGAGTGTCGTGCGTGTGTTGGAGTCGTTTGGTCACAAGTTGTTTATCATCTCTCATCACTCTAATCATCATCTCAGTGCCGTGAATAGTTACACAGAAATACATGGGTATCGAGATAGATACGTATAAATAGACGTCCACTGAGACGTACAATGATGCGGAGTGAGACACGGATATAGATATGCACAGAATTGACAGATGGATATCGAGGCATGTAAAGACAGAGAGACACGTGTGGACAGACTGGGACAGAAACGGAGACAAACTGCGTGAAAGCGTTAAGGAGAGACGACGGATACATAAAGACGGACGGATATCAGCAAAACAAGGACACGATGTGAGGACAGACAGCCACACAGACAGACAGACAACACACAGAACGAGGCGAGCACTGATATGGAGGTGTAAAAATGCATTTGAAGCTATTACAATGTCAGACACTGATCATTCATACAGAGCAGCTGATATCCTCGATTTAAATCCAGGCAACCATCGGTGCTTAAATCGGGTTCTTACATGACGGTATCATCAGCCTGGTCATCAGTGAGAAAATTCCCCGGGTTTTTAAAGATATTTTTCGCTTAGTTTGGCCTTTCCCAACCTTGGAGAATGACATTTCAAATCTAGAATGACAACATTTGCTTTTGTTTGAGACGAGAGAAGTTTGCACGCTCTGTTGTGGATGAGACAATTTGAAGGGACCTCCGATGTAGTTCTGTCATGTCTGTCTCTTTCAGAGGCCATCCTCAAAATGATTTGCTGCTTTTTTATGAGTGTTTTTGAACGGGAAGTCTTTAAACAGCTCATGGCATCCTGCTGATAGTTTAATTTGAATAATAGTTTTAAAAAGACAATGTACAGAAGTTGGAACCTGTTTTTGATATTACGTTGTTTGTGTTGGAACTCTTGAAACCCAGGTTATGTTTTCAGAACAGATTTATAATTATCAGAGTGTGTTTTTGTTTGCATTCTGACCACAAGCATTGTGGTTAATGCAGACATGATTCCTTGTAAAAGGTTGCAGTTTGGTGTTTTAACATCTTAACACAGCTGTTTTGTTGCCAGAAAAAAGGGGTACACCTATTCTCAGATTTCATTAATGTTCTTTTTACTTGCGTTTCGATACCTTTATCCAGCAGTGGATAAGATCAGGACCGATTATCATGATGTGAAGGCGCAGTTATGTTGTAAATAGTATTTATTTCATGAAACGATCGCATTGCCTGCTTTCCTTCAGCATGTTTGGAAGGATTACGTTTTCAACACTTACAGAAACTTACAGTATTTCTTGCTTGAGCTAACGCATACAATGAGGTCACATACTAAGCAGACGGCTCTTGAAAGTTTAGAACTGTTTACATGATAACGTGCCGTTGTGTAAACTACAAACAGTGCATTCATTGTAAATGGTGGCTGGCTGTAAGCACATCTGTCCAAATTATTATAACTTATGAGAGGAAAACATTTCCCAGATTATTTAATAATAACAGTTTTCGTTCAATTTATGGCACGTGATTTTTTAGTGCGGTGCTATTTTCCTATTGAAGTGGCTGTTTGTTTAAAATGTTTGTTTCATCATTTGAAATGGATGGCAGTTTTCGTTTTGTTTACCGTAGATGGGTGTGAAATATTTAACCTGACATTTTCCCTTAACATTATTGTATCGCAGACACACGTTTGGTGTATTGTGAAACTAACGTTTACGGCATAGACATCTCTTAACTTCAAATGGAATAGCATGGTGATTTGTTGTGCCATTATCCAATGCTGGGTGAAGGATGATGATATATTCAATCTATGTATTTTTATTAAATCCTTTATATTAAGTTCACTTGCTTGCTTGCTTACGACCGTGCAAATCTTTCGGCCGTTTTTTAACCCACTTCCCGCGATCCAACCGAGCTGACATTTTGCACACAGACTCGTTGTGCGTGACAATTTATTTTCGTGAAAATTTTTTCCAAAATTTTACACCTTTTAGGAATTTTTTATTTATATTTAATTACCAATTGCTTAATGGTGGCAGACAATCATCTGACCCATAGGTGGCAGCCATCTCAAGCCAGAGGACGAGAGGACTCTAGCCGCCCGTTTCAAATACCAATGTGGGCTGGGTTGTGGCCCATTGAACACGCATATAAAGGATTTATAGTGAAAAACTTTGTTTTTACCTGTTAATTTTTTTGTCTATAACTAAATCCTCCTGAATGTGCATGATCTCGACACATTTCCAAGCCAGGGATTGAAGTTGCTTAATATTTGTATGATGAAACTGCCAGGGAATACCATGTATTGTGGGCTTGGACTTCTACATGGCTGAAAATGGCAGTAGAGCAATGGATTATTAAATCCGTATGTGCCAATCTTTCAGTTACCCCCTTTGCATGCCTGTGGTTTCTGTGGATGCTCGACGTGAAACCAACCACTTGCTTGTAGAATTGGCCAAACATCCCAATTGAGACTGTCCTGAGAGAGTGAGTCACTATTTTTATTATTATTTCCACAAACAAATGTATTGGAGTATTATTGACATGACACTCGGGCATTTCTTTAAACGTCCGATTATGGTATTGAAGTTCACTGGGCTGAATCATAGTTTTCCTGTAGTGCTTTTATGTCAGGTGACCTATGACCAAATAACCCAGAATGTGTCTGATCTCATCCAATCTTAGATCTTTACCGGATTCTGCCTGGATAGTGCTTGGAATGACGAGTTGTAGTCTGTAGGGTTACGTGATTATTTCATTTATTTACAACTGCTTTTTGTGTTTAGTTGTCTTCCCACACCTCCGATTCTCACGGTTGGCTACATATAGTGCCAAAGAGGTTCAGCATACATTAGCAGAAGATGGTGCAGCACAATTTATTGTTGTACTGTATTTCTATGCTCCCCCACATTTGCAAACCCAGACTGACCAACGTGGTAAAGTATGGGAAATCAACTCCACGACCTGCATGCCATTGAGTAGCCCTCATCTAGCAGTGGGATAACATGTCAGGTCTAACCAGGGAAATTACTCCAAATGAACGATTAATAATCTTCAAGTGAAATAATTGTGTCAAACGAATAAGTTATTAATTATATAAATTGGCTTCTGCATTAAATCAGGTCGGGCTCTGTTGGTGCATCTGAGTATTTAAAAGATCAACGCTTGGGCTCTGATTTGTTTTATTGAAATTGTAAAATGAATTGCTAAGTGCTGTGCATTACAGCGATAATATTTCACAATTAAACCCATTGCTCGTAAAACTCAATTTAAGTGAATTGCAAATTAGATAAACGTATTGTGCATTTTGTTTATAATGAATGGCAGATGGGGGGTTGCATATTGAAGCGGGACTCTTTCATTATAATTTATAAAAATTGGTAATTAAAGTTTAATTCAGTTTTCATGCATTATGCTTACTAATTTGATTTTAAACCATGATGGGATTGTTCAGGATTACAAAGGTTGCTGTACAAATTCATTTACAGTAATGAAAAAGGCAACCTAATGCAGGTTCTGTTTAGGAGTACAATAATTTTATAGCCATGTTGAAAAGGTACCCTTTGACCAAACCACAGGGGGAAAAAGCAACCACGATGTCACCCAGATTTGGGAATCTAAGCAGGTTCGAGTCTGGATAGTGCTTGGATGGGTGGCCACGTCGCTGGTGGCCTAACAGAGGTCTATAACATCTGTTTATACTGGTAGGAGCCTCCTGGTTACACCAGCCCACAGGGGATTATTGTGTCCGTCCGTCGTGCAGGGAGGGGCTGGGTGGGGAGGAAGGGGTTGGGTGGGGAGGGGCTGGTCACCCCGTGGTGCCCTTATAAAACTCAACGTTTAACCTACTCACACCGGCTTGTGCCCGCCCTCACAGTCGGGGATATTTGCGGAATACACCACGCCGCCGTTGACCCTGGCCATTGACCGAGCAACCCAACGTTCCTACCAGCTCCCTCCGCAGGAATGTGTTATGCAGAGGGCAACATAACAGAATCCATTGTTATACTGTGCTACACCCCTCATCCAGCAGTGGATGTACATGTGCATGTTCAAGGGGATGATGAAACCATGTTTTCCAAACATGCCAATGGCTGGGCGTTGCTTTGCAAACGAGTTGACTTAATTGAAAAACTGGTGGTTTTCCGCACATAAAATGTACATAAATAGTATTCCGACCACATCGAGAGCTCCCAGCAAACCCTGAGTGAGGAGGTGAGGCCTATTTCCTGAAGTGACAAGTGCACGGAAAAAATCGCCCGGTGCCAGGGGACCATCTCTCTCCTACATTCCGTGGTGGCTCATGCCTGTACACATGGGCCAGTCTTTCCACATTAGCCACTATTTCTCATTCGGGTGTAAATCAAGTCGTGACGCACGGTTATGTTGGTAGGTAAACATGGGATCCAGATCCTACAAGGACCTGGAGTTTTTAAGAGCCATCGATGCTCCTTGTAAACTTAAAACAGAAATGGAAATATTTTAAGAAGTTACTAGGTTAACAGAAGCCTCCAAAATGGGAAGAAGAATGTTTCGAGGTTGGATTTTTTTTCTCTGCAATGCCCTTGTTTGGGCGTGCCCTGTCCTGTGCCGTTAATTGAATGATTAATTGCCTTCCTTGCCATGCACATTATACCAATACCGATCGGCCAAGCGCCATGACATGGGCGCTTTGGAACGGCGTGAGCTATCTTCTCAATTTCCACACAGATTTTCACGGAACAAAGCTTGGACATTTTTTGGCAATTTTTTAAAAGTTTTTTTGTGTTTTTATTAGTATATGTTACCTTGGGCAGGACACGTTGCGAGAAGGAATGTTCGCTAATCATCAAGAACTAACGACAGGGTGCCAGCCAAAGGAAGGAACACGACTGAGGACTGTTTTGCCAAGGACATCGTGGGCAGTGAAATCAGCTGGTGTGCAGAAGCTAAATGGATCGTTGCATCACAGGACGAAGAGAGATGGTACACGGCTTTGGGAGTCCTTTATACAACAATGTATTGATCATGGATAATAATAATAATATTTAGTTTTGTTTATTATTCACAGTTTAAAATGCGTCAGACAGTTGGTACACCCAGCTTTAGAGGTAGGCATCTCTACACGTTCTAGATTTGAAGCTTTCGTGACTGCAAGGATTCATACTCTTAGGTTTTTTCGGTAAAGTCACGTAGGTAAAAATAAAAATAAATCATGAAAATATTATAAATAATTACATATTTTTTTATATAAATTTTTTTCTATTATTTGTTTTTATTATTTATTTTTACCTACGTGACTTTACCGAAAAAACCTAAGAGTATCTTACACGTTCATTCGGGCTGAGCAATCTTTACTTTTCCCTGCGCAGCATTTGTGAGTCTCGCAACGAGAGTGCTGGGGGTGTGAGCGAGGGGGTAGAAGTGGGTTCTCAAACATTTTATCAAAAGCTCGTAGAAAAAATTGGCGAAACCAATTGGACGATGACAAGAAAGCGTTTAATGTGGCCCCGGGCCCTGTTGGAGGAACATGATATATTTCGCTGAGAATTCTTGGGATTGTTCAGATTCCCCGCGGGGACGTTCTCAAAACAGCATCACCCTCTCTCCCCCTTCTTCCCCCACACAGCCTCCCGCAAACATCGACTCCCGAAGCAGCTTTTGCCAGCAGGCTCTGTTGGTTCAGAATTCCAGCACCAGATGCTTTGCGATTCCTTCTCAATGCAGTAGTTTGTGTGTCAACTCTGTTGCGGATTGATTGTACAAGTGCGCACTGTGTGCATGGCTTCTGTGCGTGTGCGCAAGCGTTAACAGCTCTCTGTTCTTCGTAACAAATTGCACATCGCTTTGGGTGGTTAAATAATGGATAGCGTTGTAAAAAAAAAATGTTGCTTCGGGGCAAATCACCCGGAATGCACCCTCTTTCGTCAGATCTTCGGAAGCTTAGGGTTGGGTCTGGGCAGCGCATGCGTGGGTAATCGCCACGCACAAACAAGTTGTACACGTCATGGGGAGGCCCTCATCCAGCAGTGGATTGACACGTACGTGTCCTTGTCTTTGTACCTACAGATGCCTTGCCCCATTCAGACTGCTCGTGCCTAAGGGGGGCAGACTTTGAATCTTGCACCGAGTGACAAAATACAGTCTGCGAAAATGTGAATGTTGGAATGTTTTTTTTTTTAAACTGAGCTTTTGGAGTGTTTTGCGGTAGTTAGTTTTGTGCCGTAAATTTGAGAATGTTTTTGGCTTGCGAATAATTGGCCACTCTGCGGCTCGTTACTCCACCGTGTTACCGGCCCATAGAGCACGTCCTTTAACACGTGCTTTTGTTGAAATTTCCAGCGCGCCCTTGCAGCCAAACGCCGGGATATGGTTTATTAAAGCGGACAAGCAAGCGCTCGCAAGTTCGTTTTATTGCAGAGGGGCTGACGACGTACAGTGTAAGGCGGAAATATTCTTCTTTCTTGTTAAACCAGGCTGGCAAACTGCGGCATGTTCATGGGGATGTTTCTCGTGCCTGTTGTCGAATATTTTGTGTGGAAGGATGATGCATCGATGAAATGTCTTTTTTTAAGAAAAAAATGTGAGTTCAAAGTCGTTGTGATTTCCCTACTCAGTGAACGTTGAGGGTGTCGTGGTGTCTTACGGCCCTGATCCAGCAGTGTAAATTCCACTGTGTTCTGACTGCGGATGAGTTTCCATAGGACAACCACTGTTGACTTCCCCACAAAACGGTATTGATTTTATTGACCCCCCCCCCCCCCCGGAGGGATGATGAGCCGATTCCAAGACCCAACCGACGATTTGGACTCGCAGCCTTACGATTGCGAGCGGGCCCGCTCTACCTAGCACAGAGCCGCTCGGCCAGATGTCTTACGGTCCATATTTTTATGCGTTGACTTGTGTTTTGTCGTTTGTGCAGTTTGTACAAATGCCATGCTAATGTTGCGTTGAGGCTAATGGATGGAACAAAACTGTGCAAATGAGATGGAAGGAATTAACAAGTTGTAGAAAAACAAGACGGTAAAAACCCGTACCAAAAGTATAATTTGGTTTTTGAATCAAATTGGGACAATTTATTGGCAAACTGGGAGGACATTAATTGTTATATGCCTTAGGATTATTGCTGCAATTTACTTTATGTGCACTTTGCACATGTGGGTTTGTGTTTGTCTTCGCTGCGCTATAAACTCAGCGTACCTGAGTTTGATTCCCATCCAGGGGTAAAATCAGTGGCGAGCGATACCTGAATGAGTTCCCTACCCGTACCCGTACCCTACCCGAAATGAGTGACAAACGGTTACTCACCAGTGACTCACGGCCTACCCGTACCCGTACCCGGCCGCACCAGGGTCGCAAACGGGTACCCGTACCCGTACCCGGCCGGGTACGGGTAGCCGGGTATCGAGTAGGGTACGGGTATCGGGTACCCGGTTGCGACCTCTGCTCGCCTGGTCTTCATAGTTGCTCACCAACGGCACTTGCAACCAGTCTCTGCGAGTGACGCAGGGGGATTTGTCTTTTGTTTTACTCCCGAGAATGTCATCATCTATAGAGTAGTTTTTGTTAGGTGACATTATTGCGTGGTTTTGGCAAAGCCGTTCTTTATCTAAAATTTTATATCCCTGTACTTTAAGAGTAATAATATGCGACAACAGTTTTTTCTATCAAGAAAAATGCACAATTGTGAGCATTTGATTCTGAGCCTCCAGTCATGCCTGGCATAGCGCGTGAAATTGGCATACTTTGTTTGTAACGCACACAGCCCTGTTTCAGACCACCAACTCAAAAGGGTTTCTCTGTATAATGACCCAGTGAACGTACAACGTTGGCACGTGGTTGGAACCGTTGGCCCCGACGTTACATGCTTGATGCAGAGTTTTTCATCAACAGAATTGCCACTGCGTAGGTTTTCAGTCATGCTATATGGCCCTCCCGATGTGTTTTTGGGGTTGTTGTGCGGCGTGATGTCCAATGTTTCGTTTAGGCATGTGGGAGAGTAAATGTCGGATATCATTTTGAGCCCGAAACGCATCGGATATTGATGGAAAGTGTTTACACGCAGTTCCCTGTGCATTGTTGGAAAAATAAATGCGTGAAACGTTGTGCAAGCCAGGGTACGCTTGCAACCCGAGGCGTTCGCGCGCCCTCTGACACCCAATCGCAGTGGGCTTTTTTTCTGCGGGGGAACATTTGCGATAAATTTCTGGTTCGCCGGGTGCGTTTAACCTTCTAGCAGTGGGCAGGATTAACACCGCATAAGGGGCCGCGTGAACTGCCAAGTTTTAAGCGGCTGGGAAGGCCCAGCCGTGCCAACTTTAAGTGGACAAGGGGGACATTTCTGGCAAGATCCACAATGAATTTTGCTACGCTAAAAATCGCGGTACAGCAAACTGTTGATCATGCGTTTGTAAAAGGTTCATCTTGAATGTAGATTAACGTTATGGCACACCAGAGGCTTGGCTCCTGTTTCTTGCCAATCATTTAAAATTTAATTTTTAATCCAATTTTACATGGACTTGGGGGTTATGTACCGAGAGCATCGCTCTGCATATCATCGTCGACATTAATTAAAATATTTTCTGCTCATTCTTTATTGATGGCTCGCTCTAATAAGATTAGTTTCAATGACCTTTAAATAACCCTACCCGCGCATTAGAAGGTTAAGAGAAAATTAACTTATATTTAAACTTGCTCGGTGATACGTGTCAATTTAATGCATAGTTGAGTATATTTAGATTGTACTCAACCATTTGATTGTTTTATAAATGACTGGTTACCATTTCTATTGAGAGTGAAAGATTGAGGCGGGGGCGATGGTGAGAAATTACAACGAAAAATGTGTCAAATTATACTACGGATGCTTACTAAAAATACAATTAACCATCCACACTAAAAAGTGCATCGTTTTCAATGCATGTCAAGATGATTGTTGAAAATGATACTTGGGCCTTTGACAATAATCAAACCGTGCCTTCGATTAAGAAAGAGACTATGTTTTTTTTTAAATTAAAGGTGGTTATTTTTGGACTAATTTGGAACTTGTGGTTTCATCCCGTTAGCGGTATTTGATTTGAGTAGAACACTGATAACAGCAATAATTGACAGCTAATCTACTGTGGCATCGAGGTCTCGGCATTCGACATGGGGGGGGGGAGTTGTTTGACCATACTTCACCAAGCTGGTTAGTGCCGGTTAGTGAAGGGGCTGATGGGGGGGAGGAGGGTGGGCGTGTGCCAAGGACTCTTTCAAATAGTTTCTGAATTGAACTCGGGTTGACGGGTTCACAGCGCAGCATGCTAACCACCACTCTGCCACTTGAATCACTCTCTCGAGAATAAACCCCTCTCTCGAATGTCTCATTTTCAAATTTAGCCTTTCTTCTTTTATCCCAGTGATCGCATTATTGGCCCTCATCCTCTTCCCGATGACGTCTCACTTGCAATAGAATCGGTCGGTGGTTCTCTCCTTTTTTTTGTTTACGATCAGTGGAAACAAGAAGATGCTAGGTGTATTCGGCACTTTGCTTCGTTCATCATTTCGTAAATTTTTTTATTTAAATTTTTAAACTTTGCTTTACGTAAACCCCCACCTCTCACTCACTCTCTCGCTCACTCTTTCGCTCACTCTCTCGCTCACTCTCTCGCTCTCTCTTGCTCTCTCTCGTTCTGCACGCAGCCCTTCTCGCAGTCCGACGGCCTCCGACGGGTGGTTCTCTCCTCTTCCCCCCCCCAACGTCAGATTCATCGTGACGATAACCTTAAATTAAATCCCCGCATTGGGTGTGGCGTAATGCAGTGCTTTCGTTATGAAGTGTCCGCTCGCGATGAGACTTCGATTGTGGTGCCATCCCTAAAGAGGTTAGGTGTAGGTGGGGGGGGGGCCCTGCCCTGCGGCTCAAGACGTTTTCGCGGTTGCGCCTTTGCGAGATTTCTATTTCGCCGCGCCGATTTTAACGGCACGCGTTGTTGTTGCGTTGTCGCCCG